GAACCAAAAAGCAATACTTCTGCTTCGACCCCCATGTCGTGTTGGGCTTAAAGGGACACTGGTGGCTGGATCTGTGGTCATTGTGAGTCATGCCTGACTTCAGGCAAAAGAAAACACGGTGGGAGCATCCTTGGGAATTCCCGTGGTGGCGTTGGGAAGGTGCCAGAGTTAAAACGACATCCCCTGCTGGCTGGTGTGGCTCAGTGTTTGAGCGTTGACCCATGAACCAGGAGTTTCACTTCCTAGCCAGGATACATGCCTGGGTTGTGGGCTCCATCCCCAGTAGGTGCTGTGCAGGAGGCAGCCGATCAAGGTGCTGCATCCTGAGAGGCAGGGGGCACTGGGCTTCCGCAGGCTCCTGACCTCAGGTAAGCAGCTTGCAATAAGGGGGTGATACACACAGCCACCGGGGGGGGGGGGCTGCCACAGTCTCTGTAGCCTGTGTTGGGGTGTGCCAGAAAGATGGCAGGAAACCTTTCCATTTACTTGCCTCACGACCTGTTTCATTATATTCTTTCAAGTCTCCTTGAGATGGATCTGGTTGAGGATCTGGTGGGCCAGGGGTTCCTGTAGAATCAGCCATGGTTTCACTGACCAGTTCATCTGACCGTGGCCATGGACATGACCAACCACACCCAGTGGAAATATGCTGGCAGCTACGACAACCCCTTCTCAGTTCACGTTTGGAGAATTATCTTGTTCCAGATGAGAACTTTTCACAGGACCCCTCCTGTGGTAGAAAAGCTAGAATGTGACCAAGAGGTGCACACTGGCTTGGGGTGTAGGGATAATAGAGATACATTATCACCACGTCGGAGAACTTGTCAGCTGCCTCCACCCCCACCAAGCCCTGCAGTGTGTGTTCCCTGGGACAGGGATGTCCCTTTAAATTTAAAAGAAGAAAAAAGATTTTATTTATTTCAGAGAGAGGAAGGGAGAGGGATAGAGAAACATCAATGATGAGAGAATCGTTGATCAGCTGCCTCTTGCTGGGGATCGAGCCCACAACCAGGGCATGTGCCCTGACCAGGAATCAAACCGTGACCTCCTGGTTCATGGGTCGATGCTCAACCACTGAGCCACACTGGCCAGGCAGGGGCTGTCCTGCTAACTCTGAAATTGCCTCTTATTTTCCTTGAACTCCAAGGTTGCACACTGGTGCCCACAGATGTGTCTTATTTTTAGCCCATGGTTTTTTGGTGGTTGCTTTTTGTAAGCTTTTGAAACTATGAGTGTTCACATAAAAATTGATTTCTGGCTTCTCTTTAAGAAAAGGTCAGGAAGTCCTGAACAATGAGCGCCTGGTCAGATCCAGCTGGAGCTCAGTCGGTTGGGGAACATGCCCTTGAGGTCACCGCCCCCCACTGTCAGCTACCACTCGTCCCTTTCCTTCTGCAGGGAAATGGTCTGTACCTGCTGCTTCCTCGGAAGTGGCCACACAAGTGACAGCCCAGAGGGCATGTGCCCCCTTGACTGACGGGTACCGGGCTGCCCACTCCAGACACTTGAGCTCATAAACCTATTTTAACCCATTTTCTCTCTTGGACCTGCCTGGTTCCTCACATTTCCTCCCAAATCCCTAATGTGTTAAAGGCACTGCAGTTACTGCCACTGCCCATGTTCAAGGTGACTGCTGTTCAGATGCGGCTCTGTGACCAGCGCCACCACCCGGCCTCCTGGTGGGAAGTTAGTCTATGTCCTGGCCTCACAGGAGGGCCAGCTGGGTCCCCTCAGTGCCAGGGGCCTGGCCCCGCCCTATTGCCAGGCCTCTCCTCCCTCGGATGCCATCTTACAAAACTCCGGTGTGCAATTTGGTGTGTAGTTGGAAACCGTCGCAGAATCATTATAGCATTATGTTTGCGTCCTTCCCCCCCTGATCCCTACAAACTGCTGTCTTGGCAACAGGCAGGTTAACCTCACACAACAGCCTGAGAAGCCACACTGCTCTCCAATCGGTTGCCAGGTTAAACATGGGTGTGCCTCTGTCCACAAACTTACAACACCTGGGTGTGTCGCAGACCCTCAAAGGGGAACAAGATGAGCAGCCTCCCGGATCTCCGTGTGTGTGTGTGTGTGTGTGTGTGTGCAGTGCCAGGCTTGCCGTCACACTGACGCCCCGGGAGCTATGACCCAGCCATCTCCCAGGCCCCCTTCTCGTTCCCCCCACGCCCTCCCCTGCAGGAGGGACAGACCTCCTCTGCCACCTCAGGAAAACCAGAGAGCTCCAAGGGCAGCTGTTGTACATGCACTGCTCCTGGGAGCCCTCGTGGCCTGTGGCTGGCGTGTGGGCACCCAGAAGCCCTCGAACCCAGGAGGGCGCCCGTGGACAGCCCCGGCTCGTCCTCAGTGGGAAGAAGAGATCAGCCAGACAGAACCTGAGCGAATCAATGTCATGTTCACGTGGAAGACAACAGACAATATCCAACATGTTCTAAGACAGCACTTCTAGGCAAAGGGCAGGCGTGGCTCCCTCGCGGGCCTGCTCTAAACCAGTCTCTAGAAGAGCGACCCACACGAGCCTACAGAAACCCAAACCGAACGTCACACCACAGACATCTGCAAATCAAACGAGACACTGGGTGTTGACTTTAACATATAAAAATACTATAACAAAATGAAATACAAATATATATTAGAATCTGTTAAGTATTCTGTATAAAGAGATACTTTCGTGGTTAGGCTAACAGCAGGCAAAGAGAGACGAGTCCGGCCTTCTCCACCTCAGACTCAGGGAGGCTCGGGGCTCCCCTGCTGCGTCTCCTCAGTGCGTGTTGAGTGGAAACAGCAATGGCGACGTCGATGTGAACTGAAGGTCTTTACCAAAGGGGAGGTGTGGAGATGACCTCTCAGACAGATGATTTCGGGGTAGCTGCCTGGGACTTGATGGTAGCAGGCAAGATGCGTGGCAACCAAGGGCCTTCCCGACCGGCCGGTGGGTGGCTAAGCTGAGGAAACTCGGTCCTGGGGTGGGATGCACGGCTCTCTTAGCTCCTTGCTGCCTCACCCTTGTGGTGGCTCCCAATCTTCCAGCTCCACCAAGGGTGAGTGTGGGGCTGGGCTGGGCATTGAGGAGGGGCCAGTGGAGCCAGCAGCAAGCTCACCCTCTGCCTTCCCCACCCACGGCGCTGGGCCTGCAGGGCGGTCGCCATCACCTGTCTGCAGGCATCCTTTCTACTTTCTGCAAAGTAGAGAGGCCCCTGCTGTCAGGGCCCCTCGAGCCAAGGAAGCTGCTTCTCCAAGGCAGGAAGGAATGGCGGTGGCAGGAAGGAATGGCGGCTTCTCAGGGCCGGGGGTGGGGGAACACCTCTGTTCCTGGAAGGAACAAACTAGCTGCACTGGAACTTTCCTGCCGCCCAGCCTGGTGCTAGCTCTTCTCCAGATTCCCCAGTGGCCGCCCAGAAACTCCAGGTAAGAGGGTTGCTCTGCAGCGAGGCCCACGCTGCTGTCCACAGCGGGCAGGGCACGGTGGCCTTGCTCAGAGCCTACAGGAAAAGAGAGCCCAGGCCAGGGGAGGCGCAGACCCAGCCATGCTGGCTCCTCCCCACTTGGGAGGGTCCTCTGCCCATTACAGGGGTCCCCAGACTCAAACTCACTGAGTGGCCAGATCCTGTCCATGCCAGGCTCCCACGTCATAGGAGGCTCCTGCCCTCTTCTCAGCAGCAAAGCCCTCGTCCCCCGCATCCCACCCCCAGCTACCATGGTGGCGGAGGACACAGGCACACGCCACCCCAACTCTGCCACACCCCTGCCTTCTGTCTGCAGATGGAAGGAGCCAGGAAAAGGGTGTGCCCCCACTTGCCCACCGGATCCCCCAGGGGTACACTGTCCTGGGGAGACCTCTGGACCAGAGAGTGGCCTGTCTTCCTTCCAGCCAACTGCCTATTTAGGCTCAAAGATCATCTCTGCGCTGTCGTCCTGCGGGGAAGAGAAGCATCCGCAGTCGGTCCCCTGTTCAGTGACTGCGAAGACGAGTCCTTCCTTGCGGAAGCCTCTGGTGAGCAGCTCCGGCCGTGTCTGCGGTTGGCGCCCTCGCTGGGCTCCCTCTCTCCCCGGCACCCCGGTCTCCGCTGTGATGTGCGGTGATCAGTCGGCAGGTGTCCACGAGGGCAGAACCCAGCCCTGGTACCCAGCCCCGGTCAGGCACACAAATACTCAATGTAATTGATGAAAATGGATCTTCTAACTCCTGGGGCCTCCCTCCTGGAGCCACAGTGGGAGGGTCTCCGTTGCTTGAGTCGTCTGTCCTACCTCCCCATCTGAGAGCGGAGGAGACGGAGGCCCGTGGGGGAGAAATTTGCCAGAGCGACAGCCAGCAGTTCCTGATGCCTGGGCTGCAGCGTAAGGGGCTCTGGACCCCGTCTCCTCAGGAGGAGACCCGCCCTGGCCAAGCAGCCTAGCCCAAGCCCCTACACCCTGCCCCCCCTACCCCTGGCCCCCCCAGTGGCTCGCCAGCAGCAGGCTGATGGCTGGGGAAGCCCAGGACCAGGGCCCCTTTGGTGGCTAGTGTCTGAAGGTGGGTGGCAGTGTCTATTCTGCTGAAACCAAGAACGCCCTGTCCTCTCTGGTGGGGTCCCCCACCCCAGGAAGTTCCCATGACCGTTTCCTCCGCATGAGTACCCTCCTCGAAGCTACGATGATCATCCCATACCTTTGGGATTCAGAGGTCTGATCCTAAGACCGGCTTCCACCCCAGGCCTCGTTCCGGAGGCGCTCTGCCTGCCAACCAGGCCAGGGGCAAGGGGCAGCCCTTCCTGGCCAGCAGGGGGGGGCCCTTCTTCCCCTCCGCAGCCTGGCCTCCTGCCACCGACAAGCAGCAGCGCCAGGCTGGGAGTCCTCCAGGGTTCTCTGCAGGGGGCACGGGGTTCTGGGGCCAGCATGGGCTGCAGACACGAGGGACAGGCTGGGTTGGGAAGGGGCAGTCCCTTCTTCAGAGCCAGGTCGCAGGCAAGGAGGGAGTGGCACCATTCTGCACTTCTTGGCCTGACCTCACGCACATATTCATTCAACAATATTTATTAAGCGCCTCTTTGTGCAAGGCACTTCCGGGAGGGCGGTCTGCAGCCAGGCCTCGCCCACCCGCTCGGCCCCCACTGCTCGAGTTCGGCTTGTCCAGCCATCCAGGAGCCGCCTGGCGATGGCCCGACCCCAGCCCAGGTCTCCTGGTGGCCCGGCTTCTCGCCAGCCTCCTCCCCGTGGGCACTGGGCGCTATGCGCAGAGGGCACAGCCACACTTGGTGGGCTTCTCCACCTCCTCAGCGAAGGAGGTCCCGTCGCTGCACTCGAAGGTGAACTTCCTCCGCTTCAGCCGCAGGCCCTGGCAGCAGCCCCGGCCCGGGCAGGAGCCCCGGCACTCCACCCACGACAGCGGGCGCGTGGTCTGGCAGATGGCATAGCCCCTCTGGACCTGGTGAAAGTCCCGGACAGGGTCCCCCCGGCACTCGGACTCTGGATGGGACAGATACCAAGAGAAAGCCTCAGGGCACAACGATGGGCCAGTCCTGCCCTCTGGGAGGCAGGAGGAGCGAGGGGGGCGAGGGGAGCGGGGGAGGCGGGGGGCAGCGTCCGCAGACTGTCCTCTAGCTCTTAGAGCCCACCTTGGCCCCAGCACCCTCCCTGCCCGCCATGCACATGCACAGCTTAGTCCCGGGCCACCATGAGGTCAGTGGGAAGGAGGGACTTTCTGGCTGCCCGGGCCTCTAGTACAGATGCCGCTGCCAGGCTGCGGGGGCTCCCCGCTGCTGCAGGAGTGCAAGAGGCTGGAGGCCTGGGAGGCAATCGTGTTGGAGGAGGAATTTGTGCTGGGAGGGTGTGGCCTCGGGACCCTAAAGTGCCTGAGTTCTGGATTCCTCAAGACACCCCCTCTCCCCCCAAGCGCTCTCCATTCCAGCAGAAGCATCTCAGTCACGCAGACCAGGCCTGGGAAGGAGTCCCCAACCCGCAGACTTCTGCTGCTCCCGGGTCCCAAGGTGATGGGGCCACGATGCAGAGATCTGGGCAGGAGCTATTAGCACGATTTCGTCTGTAAGGAAAAATCCCAGCCAGGGGGGCACTTACCCCAGATACGGGGCTGCAGGAAAAGCTGGGCCAGGGAGAGATGGGGGCCCTGTGAGAGGGGGACTTGGAGCCCAGAGAGCAGGGTGGGGGGGGGCGTTACTAAAGCCCCATAGCAGCCTAAGGTGCAGGAAGGGGCAGGGGCACAGAGGGGTTGCTGAGGTTGAGAGGAAGAAAAAACCAAGTTGCTAAAGCCAGTCGTGGGGAGGGACCCTGGAGAGGGCACATCAGGAGGGGGGCCCCTGACCTTGCTCACAGAGCTCGCCTGAAAAGCCAGGGTCACACACACAGTGCGCCCCCTTGGTGGCCGAGGCCTGGCAGTGGCCGTGCAGGCACTGCAGGCCCCCACACGGCTCTGCAGGGGCCCCGGCCTGGTTGCACAGGGCCCCCGAGTACCCCTCTTGGCACTGGCAGCTGTAGGAAAGGGCATCGAGGGGCACGCACTTCCCGTGGACACACCTGTTGGGACAAAGAAAAACACTCTGAGGACAGGAGAGCCCAGGCAAGGCCCACCCAGGACGCCCCACCCCCAGCCTCGGTGTCACGGATGTGAGCCTGGTCCCAAGATGGAGACATTTGCTTCCCGAAGAAGCAAAATGTGAGTCTGTGCTTGTCCCTACAGCCCTTCCCTGTTCATAAAAATAGAAACCCAGAAAAATGTAATGAAACCCTGCTAGGCCACGTGTTCTGATCTTGGGCGTGAAAGCCATTCTCTTTCCTCACGACAGGGAATGGGAACTTGCAAGGAAGGGAAGGGAACCTGCAGGTGGGCCAGGGGTGAGGGCTCCCTGAGCCCAGCGCGGGCTCACTTGTGGCCGTGACAGGGGCCGTCAGCTGGCTGGTCGCAGTGCAGGCCCCCCCAGCCGGCCTCGCAATGGCACACAGGCCCGGGGGTGGCGTTGGGCTGGCAGATGCCGTGCAAGCAGAAGAGCTTCCGACAGGGCTCGCAGCCCGGTACCACTCCCGGCTTCATCCGCGTCTTGGTGAAGTCCTGCAGCTCGTTGTTGATGTACAGGTTCCGGATGCACCCGTGGAAGCTGGTGCCGTTGAGGATCTGCCACAGGCGGAAGGTGGCCGAGTTCACGTCCACCGGCATCCCTGAGTGGTGGGGAGGGGGCAGACTGAGCGGGCCGGGCTGGGGCAGTGCCCGGCCCCTCCCTCTGAGGTCTGTGGGCACCTGCACAGTGTTCCCTCTTGCCCGTGGCCTCTGTCCTGTCTCTGCAACCCTGGACCAAGGTCCTCTGCCACCGTGGAGGGTACAGACTCCTTCCCCAAAAGAAAAGGAAAAGCTGCCTTCCCATGGCCGGGGCTGGGTGCTAGCCTGGCCGCAGCCAGCTGACCAGTGAGGCCCGGGCGCCTCAGTCTGGCTGTGCTCTCCCAGGGTTCCTTCCTTCCCTCTGGGACACCTGTCCTTACTCCCAGAGGCCCCAAAGGCAGCAAAGGACTGGGACCTGGAACTCGGGTGTATGGTACTTTGTCACCTGCTTTTGTGTTCACCATGCACAGCAACCCTCTGAGGTAGGAGCTGCTAAACCCCACTGGGTGCTCAGTGACTTGCCCGAAGTTGCACAACTAGTAAACCCAGGTTCTCATTTCTCCCACCTGCCCACTCTCTAGGCCAGGCCCTACACAGCGCTGAGACGACCCCACGGCCTCCGGGAGCCTGCTCTCTGGACCTGGAAATGTCCGCAGGCGGTGGACAGGGCCAGGTAGCTGCAAAGCCTGGAAGGCCAGCTGGGCAGTCCCCAGCTCATGTGGGGCCCTGGGCCTCTGAGGGCCCAAGACTGGGGATGGACCCTGAACATTGAACAAGTCCCTTCTGGCCCAAAGCCAAGAAGAAAGATGCCCACAGTGTAGAGGACAGCCGGGGGAATCCCAGCACGCCCCATCCCTCCCCTCCCCCGCCTGGGTCAGGCCTCCGTCCCCACTCAGGCACTTCCCCTCCCTCGTTAGTGTGGGCCGGGGGTAGCAGCCTGGCTCCTGGCAAGGGAGCACAATCCACCTGCAGCTTGGCAGTCACTAGACCCTCCCCCACCACCTGCAATGTTCCCCGCAGTCCTGTGCCCTGAGCCCCGCCCCTGGCCAGAGAGCAGGAGGGCCCCACCTGGAAAGGCTATCACCACCCCCCAAGGAGAGGCCTGGCGGGGCAGGGCCTCACCTCCCACGTAGAGGGGGGCCTCGCTGTTCAGTGTGTAGTGCTTGCCGAAGTTGTCCATGGTCATGGGACTGCCGCCATCGATGGAGAGGTTCACCATCTGGTCGAAGGTGACCAGCTCCACAGTGTGGAACTGCCCGTCATTGATCGTCTCGGCACTGGAAGACGGGGTGCCCCCACCCCAGAGGATGAGCTTCCGTTGGGCCCGTCCCTTCCTGGACACCCTGCCACGGGTCCAGCAGCTGCTTCCCAAGGGACCACATCTCTCAGGGGAGACTGGGACTGGGAGCCTATGGCCCAGCCTCTCCTGCTCCCTGGGGAAAGCTGAGACGTTTGGGGCAGGTGTTTTCAACCTAATCGGTCTCCTCCTCCCACCCAGGAGCGCCCTGTGAGGTGGGGGTGGGAGGGGACGGACCCACGCTGGGCTGTACTGGATGGTTCAAATGCCCGCTCCTCTCGGGCAGCCCAGGCTCTGGTGCTCCCATTAATGACCTGCTTTCGGCCCAGGAGATCCCTGAGAGCGGCTGACGGGCCTAAGGAAGCCCCACCTGTAGATGGCAGAGCTGGGGTAGCTGCCAGGGTCGTAGCTGACACGCACATGGCCCTGGTACAGCTCCACGGCGATGTGGTCATTGTCCCCGTTGTACAGCAGGATCCCGTTGTCCTCTGCCGTGGAGACCTGATGAGCAAGGGCACTGTCTCTCCAACCCCATCCCCCTAGAGATGCTGTGTGCAGAACTGCCCTCCCCTGCCTGCCCAGGTGACATGGCAGCCCCGCGTTTAAATCCTAGCCATGGGCAGTGTGGCCAGGGCCAGGCAGCCGAGGGCAGACGGGCCAGCTGAGGCCTGGAAACTACGTGCCAGGAGGGGCAGGTAAGAGCCCTTCAGACCACCTGTGGGCCTCAGGGAACTGCCTTAGGGCCAGGGGGTACCTACAGAGGACACGTTCAGGAAGGCTCTCTGACAGCCAGAGCCCCCCAAACCTGGAAGGAACCGCTCAGGAGGTAGCTGTTTAAGATATAAAATGGCAAAATAAGGGACTGCAAGGACTTGTGGTTAAAGACATAAGCTGGGATTTAACCTGGCCGTGCTCCAGGCACATGACACAAAGCCCATCGCACATTGGAGGTGAAGCGAGGAGTCGCTGAGACAAGAGATGGTGGGATAGGGTCCTGGTAAGCTTGGTTTTCTGGATCTAGTCACCCATGAGACCACCTCCCCCTACTGCCTCTTCTTTGAGATTGGATTTATATGCCAATAACCTTTCCAATTCTGCTTAAACGACTTCAAGCTGAGATGCTGACACTCACATCTGAAGACTCTGACCGACACAGGGGCCTCCCCATGGTCCTGGGCAGGGACGTGTCTTGAATCTCTGACCTGAGGCCAGGGCCCCACACCGCCGGACTCCCCTCTGTGACCGGCGCCCTGGGCACCCACCTGCAGGGTGATGTTGGCCCGCGGCCAGTTCTGCAGGTCTGTGAACTGCAGGTACGTGTCCCGGTCCACGAAGTTGACGCTGAGCAGCTTCTCACACTCGGGGCCGCCGAAGCCCGGGAGGCACTGGCACACGGGCCGGCTGCCCTGGTCCACGCAGTGGGCCCCGTTCTGGCACTCAGCCCCCTCGCAAGGGCTCCTGGGGGCGGCTGGGGGGGGAGGGGTCTCACAGAGCTGCCCACTGGGAGGGAAAGGATGCAGGTCAGACAGGGCAGGGCAAGGGGAAGAGGGCCTCTTCCTCCCCCAGGTCCTGGAGAGAAGCTCACTAAGCATCGTGGGAAACTGGATCCTTAAGGCGACAGAAAATGCTGCTAATGAACACTTTTCCCCAAGAGAACTAAGAGCCAGAAGGGTGGTGAGAAACAAGTGAGGTCCCTGCCCCAGCAACATCGATGTCACCTGGGCAGGTGTCAGAAAGGGAAAGCCTACTGAATTTGCTCTTTCACACCAAGCCAGGTGACTCGTGTGCTCGTTAAAGTTTACGAATTGCTTATTTTGCCCTAACTGGTTTGGCTCAGTGGATAGAGCGTCGCCTGCGGACTGAAAGGTCCTAGGTTCGATTCCGGTCAAGGGCATGTACCTTGGTTGCGGGCACATCCCCAGTGGGGGGTGTGCAGGAGGCAGCTGATCAGCGTTTCTCTCTCATCGATGTTTCTAACTCTCTATCTCTCTCCTTCCTCTCTGTAAAAAATCAATAAAATATTTTTTTTTTTTAAAAAAGAATTGCTCGTGTTTCATTTTACAGAAAGGAAAACTGAGACTTAAAACAAGCAAAAGAGGGAAGACTCAAAATAAAGAAAAGAGGGAACATTACTACCAAGGGTAGTTCTGATCCAGGCTACAACAATCTGTAGCATTAGTATCCACAATAGCCAAAAGTGTAAACAGTCCAAATAGATGGATAGATCAACAAAAGTGGTAGATCCCTACAATGGAATATTATTCAGCCATAAAAAGGAGTGAAGTTCTGCCACCTGCCACCACATGGATGACCCTCAAAAACATGACGCTAAGTGAAAGGCAGTTATAAAGGACCACAGACTGTATACTTCTGTTTATAGGAAATATCCAGAATAAGCGAATCTACACATACAGATACCAGCAGGTTAGTGGTTGCCTAGAGCTGAGATGGAAGAGACTTGGGGTGACAGGTAAGAGGTGTGGAGTTTCTGGAGTAATGAAATGTTCTGAAATGGATGGTTCTAAAATGAATGCACAACTCTGGACATATACTAAAAGCCACTGAATTGCACATTTTAATCAGATGAATTATATTGTATGTGAATTACAGCTCAATAAAACTTTAAAAAAACCACACAAAACCAAGCAGATTACGGGAGGTGGGTGGTCAGAAGGAGAGCAGGTGTCAGTCCCCCCTCCCAACCTCCCAGAGGAGCCAAGACACAAATGCCAGTGACCTTTATGGCAGGTTGTGACTTCAGAGGCTCCCTGAGCAGTAAGTGAGAGGGCCCTGCCCACTGATCTGTACCCGCCGCCCTCTCCCTCCATCAAAAAGGTGATGCACCCGCTGCCTGTGCTCTGAGTGGTTAAGTCACGTTCCCAAGGCCACACAGCTGTGACGGGTGCCAGTTCAAGCCAGGACCCGACACCCAGGCTCTCACCCTCCCTCCCTCCCGCCAACCACGTCTGGGGGCTCCTGCCAAGCCCCGGGCCGCCGTCTAAGAGGAGTCGGGCCCTCGCGGGTGTGCAGGCCTCTCACCTGTAGCCCTCGGCACAGAGGCAGGAGTAGCTGTTCACGTCGTCTATGCACTGGGCCCCGTTCTGGCAGCGGTGGTCCCTGCAGTCATCCTGGTTCTCGCTGCAGTTGTCGCCCGAGTAACCCGGTGCACACTCACACCTGGAGGTGGGAGGTGGGTAGGCAGTCAGCCCAGAGCCTGCGGGGCCCGGGGTCTGTGTGTGACAGACACCCTGGAGGCCCTGTGGGTCTATGGGGTCCACCCGGCGCCCTGGATATAAAGGTGTCCCCACCTGTCCTGGGGCCCTTTTGGAGAGCTTGTGCGGTTGGTGGGGCTCTAGGTTGGGGGGTGGGCACCCAGCAGCAGGAGGAGATGGGAATCTTGTCAGGGAGGACCCAGATTCACCACCAACAGCACATCCAGGGCCAAACTGCAGCCCCTGCTGGACCTACCCAGCTGCTCAGCACATGGCTCCCTGTCATGGGGCTCATCCTTCCCTCCACCCCAGCTCCCCCAGCTCCACCAGCCTAGCCTCCTGGCCCCAGCCAGGCAGGTGCCCACCTCTCTGCCAGTGTCTGACTCCAAGCCAACCTCCAGCTCCCTGCTTGCATTGTGCCTCACTGCTCACCCCAAAATCCATTCCGGCCAAAAATCCAATCCAGTCCTATCAAGCAAAGGGCACACTCCTCCACCCCCTTGCAAGATGCTCAGGCCTCCTCCACTGGCAGCAACCCCCACGCCACCGGCACTCCCGCCTTCACTCCCTTCCCTTCGCCCCTGCTGCTTCTGGAATACCCTCACCCCTCTCCCTGCCTCATTCTGGCCAGGCCAAGACCTCACCTCCTCTGAGAAGCCCCTGGTGCCACTGAGCAAACCTTTGCTGGAAACCCTTCCAAACTGCAGACTGCAAATTGCAAACTGAACAATCTGGCAGGTGGGTGCCCCTGCCTGGAGTTTTTACTCATTCCCAGTGTTTTTCAGGCTGCAAGAAATACCCTTCAACCAGCACACACACACACACACACACACACACACACACACACACACACACACACCTGAAATCATACTTATCCTTAGTGTATAAAATGGTGTGATGCTCTCTGATATTTTCTGTTTCATTTTTTAAGTTAACCTTGACCTACCCATTAATCACAAGTCACTATTGGGTCTTGAGCAGCAGTCTGAAGACTGTTTCAGTACCTAAGCCACCACCCATTCCTTCATATTCATTCATTCATTCATTCATTCATGCATTCATTCAACGAATGTACTGAATACTTGCTGGGTTCCAGGTACAATGAGCTGAGCATTTGTCCATCTTTCCTCCAAAACAGGAAGTTGAGAGAACATGGACCTCCCCCACGGTATGTGCTCCTCTGTGCGGTGGGAGAGACCAACCAGCACAGTGTGCGGGACAGTGTGCAGCCTCTCTGAGGAGCGGGCATGCTTCTTGATCTGCCACTGCTCCTTGGTCTCCGTGCCAATCCCACCCCGTCTTCCGTGCCAGCTCACCCAGGAAGGCAGTGTGCCCACCGTTTGGACGGAGGCTCCCATGTAGCCTCTCGATCTCACAGCCGGGCCTCTAACATCCCCTGGCTCTCCCTCTGCCCAGGGGCCTCAGCTCCATGGTGACCCCATCCCCCGACCCTGGCCTGAGTGGCTGGGGTTGGGCCCCTCAGCCACAGACTACAAGGAGCCCTGCCCTGACTGGTGGAACCAGGGTCCCAGAACTGACACTATATTTGAAAACCACAGATGGGAGCAACATCCTAAAACCCCATGACCTGCACATCACATGCAGTCTTGAGGTGACAAAGCACTTCCATGTACGCCAGTAACAATGGAGACAACAGTCAAGAAGCCCTTTTCCTGAGGCCAAACAGGAGGACTTTTAAAAGGTAATACAGTGCCTACAACTGTATATTGTGTAACATGTCAGTGGGATCGAGGGCAGCCCCTCAGTCAAACATGTTCACAGCTCTGCAGCACAATCTACACGGATGGCTGTTGACTGTAGCCCCATATGCGTGTGGTCAGCTTTTATTTCTATTGATTTTGTTAATCCTCACCCGAGGACATTTTTCCATTGATTTTTAGAGAGAATGGAAAGGAAGGGGAGAGACAGAGAGAGAAACATCGGTGTGAGAGAGACACATTGGTTGCCTCCCACATGGGATGGAACCTGAAACTAAGGTACATGCCCTTGACCGAAATTGAACCCGGACCCTTCAGTCCATAGGTCAATGATCTATCCACTGAGCAAAACCAGCTAGGGCAGTGTTTTCTGCTTTTATTACCAAATTAGAGGCCCAGTGCACAAGATTCATGCACTGGGGAAATCCCTCAGCCCAGCCTACGCTCTCTCGCAGTCTGGGAGCCCTCAGGGGATGTCCTACTGTCACGGAGGCTGGAGAGGCTCCCACCACTGCCACTGTGCTCCCCAGCCTTGAGCCCTGTGGGAGCACACTGACCACCGGGGGGCAGCTCCTGCGTTGAGCATCTGCCCCCTGGTGGTCAGTGCACATCACAGCGACCGGTCGTTCTGCCATTGGGTTGATTTGCATATTACCCTTTTATTATATAGGATACGTTCAGGTCCTTAAGGCGACAGAAAATGCTCCTAATGAACACTTTAGGTGAACAAAATCGATAGCAAGTCGATTTTGCTATCAAACCGACTTTTGGTTTTCAGAGTTCTGTGGGTTTTGTAACGGAATGAGAAACTGAGGGTCTGGAATGACAACAGCTATTTATGGAGCATTGATGGGAGGTCAGACATGGAGCTAAGTGCTTTCCACGCATGTGCTCATCCTCTCCTTACAACCACCCCAGGAGGAAGCTTCTGGTGCCTCCAGCTCACAGATGAGAAAACAGGCTCAGAGTGGGCAAGCCATCCATTCAAGCTCATGCTGGCAGCAAAGCTGTCCCCGTCACCACCCCCACACTGACTCACAGGAACCCCACATGGCTGAGACCAAACCCACTTGACAGGTGAGGAATAGGATGGGGAGGGGGTTGGCATGAAGGGGAGGTGACTTGGCAGCCCCTGCCCTTCCCTGACCCTGGAAATGGGCAACACCTACCTGGGCCCATCCGGGGTGCCCACACACTGGGCCTCATGCTGACATGGGTTCAAGTCCGGGGAGCAGAAGTCCACCAGCTGCTCACAGGCCCTTCCTGGAGAAAGAACCAGGGAGAGGCAGGAGAGAAGCTGTCCCTCCCCCCGGCCCCATGCTGGTGCCAGGCAGCCACCAGCAGAAACCTCCTGCCGACGCTGAGGCAGGGCCCCAACGGTCACGGGAATGGGGCTCAGGGCATGCACACTAGCCCTCACCCCCCCACAGACACTCGATGGCCACATACCCGCATACTGCAGGGGGCACTGGCAAGTGTAGTTGCCCATGCCGTCCACACAGATGCCTCCATTGGCACATGCGTGCTCCACACAGTCGTCTGTGTTCACCCCACAGGTCGGTCCTTCAAAGCCAGTCGGACAGGAGCACCTGGGGCAGGGGAGGAGGGGGAGGCAGGTGGGCCCATGGTCACAGGTCAATATCATCCCAGAGTTGTGGTACCTACTCACGGCCAGGCCCTCGCTGGATGCCGGGGGTTAACGGTGAACAAGACCAGCCCTGCACTATGGGACTCACAGTCTAGTGGGGAGGTGAGGAGGAGACGCAACCAGAGGAGAGGCGGTGAGTATCGGGACCGTGCAGCACAGAGGCCAGTGAGGGGGAACCAAGGGGCAGCACCTAGCTCCTCCTTGGGGGAGTGGTCAGGGTGGGCTTCCTGGAGGAGATGATGGTTAATCAAGGAGCCTGACAGGGGAGTGTAGGAATGGGAGGGAAGACAGTGGGGACAGGGCATGTGCAAAAGCCTGGAGAAGACCCTAAAGCCAGCCCTCTGGGAGGGGTCCTGCATGAGCAGGCCTTGGGGAGCACACACCTCAGGGACCCAGTGAGAATGGGGCTGGAGCAAGTTGTGGAGAGCACTGGAGATCAGTGATCTCCAAACCAGGTCCACCCTGCCCCGGGGCACCTGGGGCTTTCCAAGGGGCTGTGGGTCAGAGAGGTCTGAGAAATCAACTTCCAGACCTACAAGCTCTGCAGGGACTCTTCCCTGGACTGACCGGCCCCCGAGCTCCCCAAAAGCACACACACCCCTCCCAGCCCAAGTCCAGGGTGGGACATGCCTGGGGCCTAAAATCCCGGGGCTCCAAATAAAGGGACAATTAGGAATATTGATGTTTTAAAGGTGAAGGAACAAACGGTGTCTGAAAGTCAAGCAGTTTCCAGCTCCACATGTTAAAAATAATTGAAGGAAGGCCTCATGGCACTGTCAGCCGATAGGCATTAAAAATAGCTTTTGATGACATATCACTCTGCGCTTTTTGGCATATAGACTCGGAAGGATTTCAAAGACTTGAGTGACATGGCTATAATAAAACTCCTTCTAATCTCATCTGTTTATTTATGAGAACAAACTTTCTCAGCATTTATAGCTATATACATAAAGCTCTATCTCACCCAGAGATGAGTCTAAAAAACTCTATTTTTATTTGTAATCATTATCAATCAAATGTTGTAATCTTGTTTTGATCGACTGTATATTATTGATCATTGTCATGATAGCTCAATGCAAAAGAAACTTTTAATCAGAGGCAGATGGTCACAAGAAATAAAGAAAAGTTTAAATTTACACTTATATACCCATGTTGGTGGTGCAGACACATGGCGGGTGCTCCAGGAAAGTCTCCCCCAGCACAAAGGCAGATTACATTAGAAAGAAAGTGGGAGGGGGTGTGGGGAGTGAAATGGGCATACCCGTTCAAGAAGAAAAGGCAAACATTTAAACTGTAAAAGAGCAGCTCATTCGTGTAAGTTTTTAATGGAAAATTGCTATGCTGCTCTGGCCAGTGTTGCCCAGTGGTTGGAGCATCGGTCGGCACACCAACAAGCGGCAGGTTTGATCTGGCCGGGTCAGGGAGCGTGTGGGGGGCAACCAATTGATGTGTCTCTCTCACATCCATGCTTCTCTCTCTTTCTCTCCCTCCTTCCCTCCCTTCTACTCTAATAATTAATGGATAAACTATCCTCAGGTGAGGATTAACAACAACAAAAAATTGCTGTGCTATTTAGATTGCACTGGAGGACAATAAAAGAGTAATAGGTTTATTTTTAAATGTTAATATTTACTATATCCTGAAAATGACCTCCTTTGCAACAAAAAAATTAAACTTACAATGACAAATTTTAGCTGTCAACTAAAAGTGTATGAGAATGTATACAGTTTTTAAATTGTGTTGGGGGGGTATGTGAGCAAAAAGGTTTGAAGCCCACGGTTATGGGACATGTCCTGTAGTTTAATTCCCCCCCCACACACACACACACATAGATGGGGGTGGGTTGGGGGTGGGGGCAACAGAGGGGTTTTAAGAGGGCTGAGGCGATCAGCTTTGCATTTCTGAGAAGGCTCTTGTAAGCCTCAAGATTGAGGGGTAACTCAGAGAGGCACCCCCTTTCTACCTGGAGGGCCCACTCAAAGGGCCCCAATCTGTAGGGCCGCTAGATGTGAGGGGGGCCATCCCTGCTGTACCCCTCTCTGCCCAACAGGGGGAGTTTCTGTGGGTGTCCTTCCAGCCCCTCCACTCCCCACAGACATCCCCTCCCAGGAGTCCAGGGAATGAGGAGGTGGCTTTGCTTTGCTCGAACTGCCGCCTAAGCCCAAAGGAGGATGGAGCCTATTGTAAGGACGCCGTTGCCAAGGCAACAATGGCTGAGAGGCCATTTAGTGCTTTCCTTTCATACCTGGTAATTTGGGTTTGCAGAGACAGATTTGGCCATTTCTGCCTGTAAACGCAGAGCCAATTTATTTTCAGCAGCTCAATATCAAGTATGTTTCAGAAAAGCTCTGGGTCCAGGAGAGCTCGGGGTATGCACTGAGGGGTCCCGGGGGAAGCGGGTCAATGGGGGGAGGCGTGCTTGCATGGTAACGTCAGCACCGGGAGAGCTTAGGATTCGATCCTGAGGGAGGGTCGCCCTTCACCAGGAGCCGTGGGAAACTGGCTGCCGTGTGGGTCCAGGGGGACCAGGAGACGGTGTGTGAGGCTCCAGGGGGCAGGCTCAGGACTTGCTCCCATCTCTGGGCAGGCTTCTGTCTTCAGGGCTTAGGGTGGTGGCTTGATTGGAAAGAGCTGGCTAAGGGCCCTGCTTCAGGCAACATTGGCACAACAAGCAGGTGCTTGGCTTCTATTCAAGGCCTCCGGTGAGCAGAGATTATAGGGGTTTAAAGTGTCGCCAAACTGCCCCTTGGCACTGCCACTGCCTATGTCCTAGGCCATGGATTCCCAGTGCCATCTAAAGACTGCCTGGCACCTGGCAAGGACAGAGAGTGGCCTGGAGCAGGAGTGGGCAGGTTGGCTCCAGCCCCAGCGTTCGTTCCCCCGCCCCCCGCTGGCTCCCACTGCTCTGGGCAACGGACATGGCTGGTGGCTGTGAAACTGTCTCCAGTGAATGTTTGCTCCCACTGCGCCCACCCTCCATCCCCTCCCAGAGCACAGAGGATGGGTCGGGTGGCCACTCGATGTGGAGGAGGAGGGCGGCGAAGCATGGGTGCTGGGTCCCGTCGGCACCCGCGCCCGGGTTCTGGCCCCTCCAGGCAACTCACGTGAAGCCAGCATCCTCGCCCTCCTGTTCCTGGCAGGTCCCGCCGTTCTCACAGGGGCCACTGGCACAGCTGTCCAGGGGCACCTCACAGTCTCGGCCCTGGGGAGAGAGTCAGGGATGGGGACCCCAGGGGCCCGCAGGAGCAGCAGCGCGGCCTGCCTGTCCCAGGTGTTACTTGTTCATTCGTTCCTTCAAGCGCAGCCCTGGGCAGGACCTGCTCTCAGGGCACCAGGGGCAGATGGGGAACTCGACAGGCCACCCTGCCCTCCAGGAGCAGCCCTCCTCCTCCCGGGCCCAGCCGCCACTCAAGCCTCCACTCACCTTGTAGCCGCTGGAGCAGGCACACCTGTACCCTTGAAGGGGGTCGTTATGGCAGCTGCCCTGGTTCTGGCACGGGCTGGACAAGCAGGGATCACACTTGGCCTGGACAGCCAGAGTGGGGGGACCTGAGGCCAGAGGAGGAGGTTCCTATAAGGAGGAGGCGGGGAGGCCCCAGCTCCCCGCTCCGTACTCCCAGCCCTTCAGAGATGGGAGGTGGGGAGCCCTCTCCCCAAGAAATGGTTGCCATTTCCTCTGAGTCCCGTTCATCCTCCTTTCACAGCCCCCACCACCACCACTAGCCTTCCCTCCTCTGTAAAATGGGGTTAATAACAGCCCCCGCCGCATGGGGCCATAAGGACTAGATGAGCTAATCCGCAGAAAGTGCTAAATGGCTGGTGTGGCCGCCTCAGGAGCCCTCACACGGTCGTCAGGGTAGGGCATCTGTGTAGTCACTACTACTGAAGTCCGATGACCTTCTCTGGGTCCCCTATACCCTCTGAGGCAGCCACCCCCAAGGCCTGTCACCTGCTAACCAGGAAAGCAAGGGGGGGCCCTCCGCAGGGAGCCACGCGGCTCCACGAGGAGGCCACGCTGAGGAGGGAAAGGTCCATGCCCCGTGAAGCTGATTGTCTCCAAGGCCAAAGTGGAAGGGCCGCTTCCCACCACCTCTCCAGGTCCGAGCACGGCTTTCCCAGCCCTCCAGGACTCACTGGTCGCCCTCCCTGAACTTGGAGGTGGGCGAGGAGCACCTCCTGAGGGGGCATTAGGCCCTCACAAGAACTTTCGGGAGGAGCAGCCCGCTAGTTTTCCACCGAAGATGCCTCTGGAAGTGGTGAGCTCTCAGCGCTGCTCAAAGGCATGAGCGTGAACAGGACAGAAACACGGCTCAGTAACTGGGCGGGGGCGGGGGCGGGGGCTTCTCGGGCGCAGGTGGGACTCTGCTTCTTGATCTGGGGGCTGGTTACCTGCGTGTGCTCAGTTTGTGAAAATCCTGCGAGCCATTCACTTACGATCTGTGTGCTGTCCTGTTACGCATGTTGTATTTCAATAAAAAGGTTTTAAAAAAATAACTTCTCACCAGTACCAACACCCCCAGCTAAATAAATCCTGAGCAAACGTTTCAACATGAGTTTTGGCCTGCTCCCAACAGCTCAACAGCTAAGCCCATATCGGGCCCTGGGAACGGTTACCCCTGTGACAGCATCCTGCACGCAGGGTGGCCGACCGCCTCATTAACCTACGGCTGTCACTTTCGCTTCTGATGGGGGTCTATGAGCTAGTGCGGCAGGGCCCTGCCCCGGGGCCGGCCTCTAGTGTGCACCGCCCTCCCCAGCTGTCCCCAGTGCACAAAGCTGGGCCTGGGGCAGCCACGCAGCAACTCCCTCTGCTCAGCAGGGCTCCTGGGGCTCGGGCTGTCTGTCAGTCCATCAATGAACAAACGAACGAACGAATGAACGAGCATTTTCAGATGCCCAGGGTGAGGCGCCTTCAGAGCAAAGCCGGAGGAGCCTCGATCCCTGTGTTTCTACAAACGTCAGGAGAGGGGCGGCTGGGTCCGGCGGCTCAGGGTTTAAGCTAATTGCTGAGCCAATTCCTACCAAAGGGAGGCCCGAGTGCTTGCAGTGCTGAGACGCTTGACGCTTCCAGAAATGCCATCGCTATTTTTACTTCCCTTACATAACCCCCGGAGGGACTCAAGCCCTAACTGCTGAGGTTTTCTGCCTGGCTTCTTCCTTCACTGTTATGTCGGGATAGAAGGCAGCCACGTCAACCAGCTGCAGGTGCCTCGTTGCTGCCGCCTGACCACTCCCCAGCCAGGCACCCACCACGGCTCACCCCGAAGGCCCAGCCAGGGTGAAGCAGGTCCTCTGGGTCGCCAGCGGTGGGAGGTGGGGGACGCACCCGCCACCTTCCACCCCTTCCTCGGCTCACCTTGGCATTCAAACTTCTTGGCAGGAGTGGTGAGGAGCAGCTTGCCCTCCATGTCTGGGGGCCCAGCGCAGCGGGCAATGCCTGGTTCCTTGTAGCCTGTCTTCACCCAGCTGGACAGCCAGCGGAGGTGGCAGTCACAGTGCAGGGGGTTGGCACCAATGGCCCTGGGTCAGAGAGTGGAGAGAAACGCATTACAGCTTCATGGGGTCCTTCACCCCTGGGCACCTAGGGTGCAGGGCACTCCCCCAGGGGCTGGCAAAAGCCCTCCTTTCACCATCATGTACTGTGTCACCAGTTTCAAGTCCTCCACGTGTGCTAAATGTTGAAACTGAGGCTCAAAAAGGTGGAGGCCCCTGCCTAAGGCTGCACAGGGAAAGGGGGGAGGTGGGATTTGAACTCAGCTGTCAAGGCCAGAGCCCGTGAATGCATTGCCTCCGGGTGCACGAGGGAGGAAGGAGCCAACATCTACCACTGCAGTGATGTGCTAACCCTCTCTCTCACTGGCCCCACCGTGCGGGCTTCTCTCCGTCTCACAGATGTGGGAACTGGGCCTCATGTAGTCACACAGCTCTCAAAGGGCCGCCCGTGGGTCCAGACCCAGACTGTCTGACTCTGAAGCTCATACTCTTTAATTTTTCTTTTCATTTTTAACCAAACAAGGAGCTCACGAAGGCACTCCCATTGTAAACCTCCTTCAGACATTGCAGACCACAGTCTCTGCCTCACACAACATTGTGAAGGAGCCAAATGCCACTGAATTGTACACAGTAAAATGGTGAATTTACGTTACATGAATTTTACTGGATTTTTTTTTTTAAAGGCACATACCGACGTCACGGACTGAGTGCAAAATGGAATAACACTGACGAGAGGAATTCTGTGAGTATCTGTCAGTTCCCAGTGCAGCTGCCGTTTGACCCGGCAATTCTGTTCCTGGGAGTTTTTCTCCCAGATTCACCTGCACAAGGGCGTACAGACGTCTGTGCCATGGTGCCAGCCGCAGCACTGTTTGTAATCGGAAGGCTGTTCATCATGTGCTTAAATAAACCTGCATCCACGTTACAAAACAGTCTCCTCCACGGTCCCTGCCGACCGCAGGGGGACACGGGTCACCACGCTCCAGCGTGTAGCTTTCCGGCCCTTCCCCCTGTTCACACACATCCCATCACAGACACAACCACCCGTTCACGGCCCTCCCGAGCAGCTTGCTTCTTGCCACTGAGCAGCACGTCTTGGAGAGCTTTCCCGGTCGGCAGGGATGAATCTACCCCATTTTGCCAAACCGCTTCACAGCATCCCAAAGACTGGAGCCTCCGGGCCGACTGGGCCATGCCCCTGTGCCAGGCACCCTGGCCGTTCCCGCTGGCCAGCCGTCAGCACTCTTGTACGTGCCTCTTGGTGAAGTGAGCCTTTCTCTAGATCAGACGCCTAGGAGGAGGGTTCAGGTTGCACAGGAAGTGCATGTAAAATAAAATAAAATGAATAGCTGCCCTCCAAAGCAGGTCGTACGGACTCACAGACACCAACACTGTAAAGCCACGCCTGCCCCTGACGTCCCCGCCCCAACGCTGCAGCCGCCAACCTCTTAATGTTCTGACAGGCTGGTGGGCAAGCTCATACTCTTCTCACTGGACCGCCGTGAGACGAAGAGATGAGCACGACACGGCGCTGGGAACATGCAGGGGCCTGAGGTCTTTGATCCGGCAAATAGAAAAGCATCAGCGCTCCGTGCCCGACGTTCGTTGATTTCAGCGTGATTCTGAAAATCTGAGGCTGCAGAAGGCTGATGAGAATGAACACCTATTACCTAACCCAGGGGTCGGCAAACTCATTAGACAACAGAGCCAAATACCAACAGTACAACGATTGAAATCTCTTTTGGGAGCCAAATTTTTTAAACTTAAACTATATAGGTAGGTACATTGTTATGAACTTAACTAGGGTACTCCTAAGCTGGCCTTTGCTAAAAACGTCCTCAATCTGATTGAGGTACGTTCGCTGACGTCGACCCCTTCCAACTCTCCCATCCACACTTGTCTTGTATATTTGTTTCGTCTATCTCCTTTCGTTCATCCTCTCTAAATGTCCAAACCATCTCAACATACCTTTCTCAATCCTCGACACTACATCTTCTTTCACTCCACAACGTTCCCTAGAATTAACTTAATAAACTTTAAAGTTTTAAGTCAATTTCGCACTGTACGTGCGCACCCGTACGCGGTATTCTGTGGAAGAGCCACACTCAAGGGGCCAAAGAGCCGCATGTGGCTCGCGAGCCGCAGTTTGCCGACCACTGAGCTAACCAATGGGAAGGCCCTGCCATTTTCCACCTGTTTCTGGGCGATACAGAAGAGGTGGCTCCCCCTGAGATGTGTGCGGTCTGACTCTGCGCAGGAATTCCCCAAAATAGCACATCTGCTGACTGCGCGTCTTAAAAAGCGGGCGGAGCCAGGCGTGGACTCCAGCCGGCGCAGCTGCTCGCTGCCCCCCGACCTTCAGGGCTTGCTTTACATCTCCGGGGCTCACTTTGTGATTCGATAAAGAGCCTGCAGTCTGGAGAGGGGAAAGACAGGCACACAGACCCTGCAATGGGTGCCGAGGGAGCGACGCAGCTTGGAAATGAAAGCCAGTTCAACCTCGACGAGCACTTAATTCTTTTCTGTCCTGCTTTGCTGACAGCATCCATCATGACTAATGGGACAGGAGGCACGTTCCTCTGTCCGCTGAATAGAGCTAGGGCTTCTCAGAGGGAGGGGGAGCTCCGACACTGAGTTTTGAAGGTCCAGTGTGTTTTAAAAAATATTTTCTTAAATAACAGGAGTGCAAAAATCATGGTTTACTGAAAAGGTTTGCATTTACCACATTAATGTTTAACATAACAAGTGCGAAGAAGTGTAATTATGTTATTCCTAAGATAAATTTATTTTAAACTATGTTCTGTAGCATGCTGTGGGAGTACGGTCTGGTAATGAGCCACGAGTTTCAAAGTTATTAGGAATGGCTTCTCCTTTCAGTCCCATAGCTCATTAACAGAAAACGCCAAAAAGACTGAATCTGAGGCCCTTGACCTGTGGTAGGATCATCCTAATTCCCACAGATGTTCCCCCCCCCCCAATAATGGCAGCAAACTTGCACCTCAAATATGTGTCCCTTTTTGACTATTAATATAAAAATAATAAATAATAGTAAAGCCCAGCCAGTGTGGCTCAGTGGTTGACCTATGATCCAGAAGGTCACTGTTTGATTCCCAGTGAGGGCACATGTCCGGGTTGCGGGGTCCATCCCCAGTGGGGGGCATGCAGGAGGTAGCTGATTAATGATTCTCATCATTGATATTCTTCTATCTCTCTCCCTGTCCCTTCCTCTCTGAAATCAATAAAAAGATATTTTAAAAAAATTTAGCTGCTACACCGACAACATACAAACCACCTTTGGCCTAATTCCTTCTTGCACTTCCTCTAGATCCCACCTTCTGCTGACAAGTACCTGGGTTCTCCACTGTCCTATTCACTCCAGCCTCAGGAGCCAGCTCACCTTTGTGCCCGGGATGGGGATGAAGGTCATGAACTCATCCACGTGGCCCACGGTCAGCCAGTCTGAGTACAGCTCCACGGGCGCCTGCACCTGCTGGGCCTGCAGGAATTCCCTCACGATCTTGGTCATCCTCCGACCGCCAGACCTGGGGCAGTAACAGGCAATATAAAGCTATTCAAAACTCTAAATTCTGGCTTGACCAATTCCTGTTTTTCTTATTTCTGCATGGAGCAGACTCCAAGCCACACATGAATTCAATATGTCAAGCTTTAATTTATCCGACGGCCGGGTTCCTGTGGCTAATTTGGCAGTAGCAGTAGTTCACTTTCGCCTGGGGATGGTTTTTCCCAACAAAAACTTCTGTGAACTCAGTGGGGAGTGGAGAGCCACAGGCCCAGCAGAGACGCAACGGTGTGGATGGCAGCCAGGCCGCTCGTCCATCCACAAGGACTGTGGAGTCCGTCTCCAATAAACGTATAAATAACCCTCTGCTGTTGATCTTTGGCGTAACTTGGAAATAGTTGGAACAGTAGATATTAGGTATGTTCATGCCAAGACCTGCTGGACTTCTGTTCACGTAACCGGGACCAAAATAGCTTCCCTGTGGCTGTCTCACAGAGGCGCCAGCTGCAGGCTTAGCGCTAGGAACACTCCAGGGTCTCCTTTGCCTGAGCCCATCCCCGGCCAGGCAGTGTATGTGTGTGCATCCCCGTCTCCTTCTACTGGACCAGGAGGGCAGGAACCAGACGTCCCCGCTGGTGGACCAGATGGTTGACGAGCCCTTGCCTGGCAAGGAGGAGAACTGAAGCAGACACTTGCCATGGGCCAGGGGTAAGCAAAGGCGGCTGCGTGGGCCCAGAGCAGCAGCAGACCCTGGTGCCCAGCAGAGACGAGCGCAGGTTCCCTCTGGGGAGAGGCATCTCCAAAAGATGAGCTCACAACCAAAATTTACCGAACAGAAGTGGAAACAAGCCCCTGTGAACGGGAGACACCAAGGGCAATGAACAGCAATGTCCTGGCCTGGCCGCTGGAGCCATCTCCAGCCAGGATCCCTCCTGCCGCATCCATCCGAACCGGCCTCCCCAGGCCACCATGGCCTTCCAGGATTCCCTACAACTTAATTCTTCCACTGTTCCCTTCTGCCTAAAGAATAAAGTCCAAACCCCTTAGCATGGCACAGAGACCTTCCCAATGGAATCCCCATGTCCCTTTCTAGATTCGTCCCTTCCCGCTCCACACTCCTCACCCAATCAAACCCCCTACGTCCTATGCTGGATAACACAGCATCCCTGAATATGTCATTGACTTTCCTGCCTTCATGCCTTTGCACATGCTGTTCCCTCTATCTGGAATGTCCTTCCCCATCTTCTCCAAATGGCAACTTCCTAGTCCCTTTCCAATGGCAACATAGGTGGCACCTCCTCAGTGAAGCTCCTCAGAGTTCCCCGGAGTTAGTCACTGCCGCCTTTGAATTCATTTAATAGCACCTTCGATGGTCACGGAGGGCAGAGACCTTACGCAAATTCTTTAGCACGTGACTCACTGAGGTTACTCACGAGATAGTTATTGAAGCAATTAAGAGTAAATAAGGAGCTCTGGAATCAGACACACCTACGTTCAAATCCTGTCTCTGTCATTTCCTAGCTTTATGACCTAGGGAAGCTGTTGAACTTTTCAGTGCCTGGGTCTGTGAAATGGAAATAACAAATCCCACCCACTAGGACAGAACCTGCCACCCATTCTACTCCCGTGGCAGACATCAATAATCAATCACTGCACTCTTCCCACTGAGCCCAGAGGTGCTGGCATCCTGTGTGGGCCCAAGAAGGTCCCCGTCAACATTTGTACAGCTAACGCAGAGCAGAAAGCCTACTTCTCATTCTGGTCATGAAGTAAACAACACAGCACAGATAAAGTAGTCACACGCAGCAAAGTGTCTGTCCCAAGGACACCCTCATTGAATGACACTGTTATTATTTTACTTCCTCAAGTCTAAGGTTGGTAGATGTACTGATTGGGCAGGGTGGAGAAATATTACCGTATTAAATACAGAGGTCACTTGTAAGGTACACTCCGATTTCAGAGATTAAATTGTGGACAAGGCCAAACCTTAGAACTGAGAAAATCCAGGGAGGCTGTTGAGTGAATGAACTCAAGTAGAGATGCCGGGGACCCCAGGCTCCCGAGGCCGTGGGCACTTGGGTGTGGGGCAGAGAGCAAGAGGGTGCAGTGACACCCAGGGTCCCAGCCGCAGTCCATCCGGCCTGAACGCTGCCTTGTCAGACTGTAGCCGAGACTCCAGGAGAGAATGCTCTGCGCCCGGCCTCACCGCCAGAATTAGCTACTGCTTTTCCATGTCTTCACTTTTTTTATTGTGGTGAAATACATTTAACATGAATTTGCCGTTTGAAGCCCTGGCCGGGTAGTTGGTTAGAACATCGTCCTGATATGCCAAGGTTACAGGTTCGATCCCATCAGGGCACATACAAGAATCAACCAATGAATGCATAAATCAGTGGAACAACAAATTGATATTTCTCTCTCTATCTCTCCCCTCTTCCCCTTCCCCTCTCTGTCTAGTAAAAAAAAAAAAAATTGCCGTTTGGATAATTTTAAGTGTGCAATTCAGTGGCATCAGTTACATTCACGATGTTATACAATTATCACCACTATCTGGTTCCAAATTGTTTCATCACCCCAAGCAGAAACTCTGTACCCATTAAACAAAATTTCCCCGTTCTCTCTGCTCCCAGCACCTGGCAACCACCATTCTCCCTTCTGTAGCTATGAATGGACTGTCCTGGGTATTCAGATCAGTGGGGCCATGCAACATTTGTCCTCTTATGTCTGCGTTATTTCACTGCACTTGTCTTCAAGGTCCATCCATGTTGTAACAACATATGTCACCCTTCCTTTCTATGGCTGCATACAGTACTATTGTACGTATACACCACCTCTTGTCTATCCGTTTATCTGTTGATGGACACTTGGGTTGTTTTTGCCTTTTGGCAATTGTGTGAATGTGGCTGCTATGAGCCTGGGTGCACACGTATCTGAGTTCCTGCTGTCCATTCTCTTAGGTACATACTTAGGAATGGAATCGTGGGATCACACGGTAATTCTACATTTAGCCTTTTGAGGAACAGTGAGTGCACTGCTCTTTAAGAATAGCTCGTGCAGGTAGAGTGCTTGGCAACCAGCAAATGGTCACTATTACTTGCATTGATGCTTGTGAAGAACTGTTCGCAAATTCCATCGTTGCGACGGATGAAACCCTGACTGTGTCAGAGTCTGTGATGGGGAGCGTTTGAAGTTCACAAGCTAACTTGGTTTCAGGGTGAAAGCAACACATTCTGATAGTCTCAGGAGGCAGGGACTTTCTTGGAATCCAAATTCTGTTTAAATCCAAAGAGGCTCCCAGACCGGGGCCGGAGTTACTTACAGGTGGGACAGGGCGGTCACATCTGCGAAGATGCCCTCTGGGAGGGTGGAGATGTCGTTGCCATGCAGGGACCTGAAGGGAGAGGGGATGTGGGTGCCTCACGGGGAGACAGAGCCTATAGAACGGATGGAGGGTGGTGCCACCCTCTGCAGAGAAGGGCCTGGTGCTGTGAGGGAGACGGCCCCACCTCAGAGGTGAGCCTACCCTGCTGGCCACAGGCAGCGGAGAGGGGAACCTAATTTCCTCGCAGACCACCCTGCCCCTCAGCCCTCCTGGGGGACTCTGTTTTTCCATCATAAATAACTCAGCGCCATTTCTGTTTACGTAGCAAATGGAACGCATGCAGCCAGGAGCCTGAGGGGTAGGCTTTTCCTGGGTAAGGCAGTTAGTCCACAAGCCATACATTGGGGTGAACAATGTCACCTTGCCCCAGATGGGGCTGCCAGAGGATTCATGTGCGTGGACGCAGGAGGGGTCATCATAACAGGTGTGACAGGGGCTTTGATCACAGGGCAAAACCTCGCAGTGGGAATTCTTAGAAAAGGTTCATGAATTTTACAACACTCCCCATCTGAACAGGAGACGCGTTCAAATAGGAGGCTGCCTTGTCTTGGATGTGCGCGCGCACACACGCACACACACACTCACACACACTCACACACACACACACACACACACACACACACACGCTGCAAACACAACTTGGGGCAGACAGCAGCCCCATTTCTCAGCTACTTTCCCATTCATTCCTTGGACTCCTTCAGGGTTTAATGAGCGTGGACTGGCCCCCCACCTTTGGACACAGTTGGCCCTGCTGGGGCCCCAGACCTTGGGACATTGTTCCCCACTGGGTGGGCAGTGGGGCCTCAGTGGGGAGATGTCCCTGGAGGAATGAAGCGGGAGACTTACAGCAGGCGCAGGGAGCGCAGCCCC